AAAAATATTTAACCTACTGATGCCTCAATTAATGTAATTTTATTGGTATCTATTTTTAATTTTTGAAATTTACCAGTAGCTGCTGCATTTTCCACTCTCAGCTTATACTCGAGTCAATAAGTTTTCCCAGTTTTTTGGGGTTAAATTGGGTGCCTCGGCTTATATTCAGGTTGGCTTATACTTGAGTATATAAGGTAATTTGATGTTTGGTCAGGCATGCAACAGTTCTTAAATTACTAGATCCCTGTGGCCTCAGCATACAGGAATGTATTACACATTGTATTATTGTTGCCTTTGTTTATTTTGTGATCTTAGTAGGAAAAATGTGCCCTCTCATACTACTTGCAGAAAGGACAGTGGTGCAGGTGGCCCTATTGGTGGGCTGTCTCCCTACTACCAGGGTCCAAAGAGTGGTCCAGTCTACCGCTGGATATAGCAGAAAGCTTGGTCACTCTGGAGCCTAAACTGTTGGTGGGGCAGGGGGCAAGGAGTCCTAAGGAAAGGACACCATGGCTCAAACTCTCTTCCCTGTTTGTGGCTCTCAAAACCCTGAGGATCGGCAGGTGACCTCTAGGGGAAAGGAACCCCTCAATGTATCCTTGGTAGGTGAGATAGAAGGGCTCTTGCCATGAAGCAGAAAGATCCCATTGCCAGAGAGAACCTGCAAGGAGCAAGCTTGCCAAATGGACCCCAGGAACCCTTTTCTAACCCCAAAGGGGTAGAAGGAAAAGCCCAAGAGGAAGATACAGTACTAGGGGCTTACTGAGCAGAGAACTCACCTAAGCCACCCAGGGAGTGGGACTACATTTATAAAGAAGACTGATTTTCCGGAAGGGAGAGGGGGAGAAATATGGGAAAACCCAGCTCCCCTACAAACCCCTCTACTTGGTGGAACGGAAGAGGAAGGAACAGCAATCTAGCCTAAAGCCTGGAAAACTTACCACCACTCATCTCCAATGCTAACGGAGAAAGAGACAGCAGGAGTGCCTGTGGTATGGGGAGAAGGAGGAGAAGGCAATAACAATGCTGGGAATACCCTGGAAAACTACTTTCACTATACGCATAGCACCCCTCACTGCTGAGGGCAGGACATTTACCAAATCCATGTGAGCTAGGGACCTCGGCTCTGATGCTCATCCTGACTACAGGGAATAATACTGAAGTTGGGAGAGACATTCGGCATCTCTCAGTGAAAAAAATTAAGAAATCATAGACTATATAGTGAGGCTACCCCAATGAAAGGTACTGGCAGAAGGAAGTTAAGTTATTATATGGTATGTTAATCCCTCACATGTATAATAAACCCTGTTTTGTTGCAACCCTCATGTCAGGAGTTCATGGAATGCATGATGAAGAAGAGAACCCAGCTGAGCTGGCTGGGACTGGCAAGGCTCACAAGCTAGGATTTCATGCTCTAGTTTTTCAGTTATAATTAAGTGTGGAAATTATTGTGAGTTAATTTTCATCAAGTTGGTAAACAACATTTACAATGACAAATTGAATGGGAATGGTTAAAAAAGCAACTGAAATTAGACATGCATTCTGAAGCTGACAGTGCATAAAGAGTGTGGTCATTTAGGATGAGACTTTTGGGTAATGTACAGATTAGGCTACTAAATGGGAGAAAAACATGCAAAAAGCAGCTTCATTTGTTTTCAGAGTCTTTTGTAGCTTTATGTTAAAAGCCTCTGAAGTGCAATAGATTTGGGATTCTGAAAGTAGATAATGAAGCTGTCCTATCTGGTGAGCAGTGATTACAAATCTGATGATGCTTCTCTTTCTCTTCTGCTGTTTCTGCTGAGGATGTTGACTAGAATAGGATGGGATGCAAGTTCCCTCCTGCATAAATCTGATTATGATTTTTGTTTCACAGAAACTGTTGTTGTGCTGCCTGCATTTGGAGCAGATGATTGTCCGTTGATTTGACCCTGATTTTTTGGGGAATAGTTTTGAGGGTTAAGCCCTACCTTAACTCAGTCCAGCACCAGCAACTTGAATGAGGATAAGGGAAATGAAAGTAAACAAAAGATTGGGGCCCTTTTTGGTATGCCAAAAGACCTGGTACCTGAAAGGGCCCAAAATCAAAAGTGGAGCCCCCTTCCAAAAGAACCCAAAACGAAAGCAAACCTTGTTTTCAAATCATACATTCCCAGTGGACGTGTATGCAGTGCCAAAAAAAGGGAGTTATTTGAGTAAAATTTGTATATGCCAATTAAACTCAAAGATGGACATTTAGAAATAATAAATATAATTCAGATATAAATACAACACAATGCAATGTAGTGCAATTGGAAACGTATTCAAATCGGAGCTGCACATTAACAGAGTTAGGGAAAGAGTAATAATCCAAGATTATTCTGGTTATGCAAGCTGTTGTACAACCTTTTGCACCTCTCACCCAATGTGATCCAACATAACTGTTCCAGCAAGAATTTTCACTTGTCTAGCATTATGCTACATTCAATATGGTGCTACATTCAATATGCCAGCAAGTTTGGAAAACTCAACAGTGGCCAGAAGACTGGAAAAGATCAGTCTGCATACCAATCCCAAAGAAGGGCAGTGCCAAAGAATGCTCCAACTACCGTACAATTGCACTCATTTCCCACACTAGCAAGGTTATGCTCAAAATTCTCCAAGGTAGGCTTCAGCAGTATGTGGACCAAGAACTCCCAGAAGTGCAAGCTGGATTTCGAAGGGGCAGAGGAACTCGAGACCAAATTGCTAACATGCGCTGGATAATGGAGAAAGCCAGAGAGTTCCAGAAAAACATCTACTTCTGCTTCATTGACTATGCAAAAGCCTTTGACTGTGTGGACCACAGCAAACTATGGCAAGTCCTTAAAGAAATGGGAGTGCCTGACCACCTTATCTATCTACTGAGAAATCTATACGTGGGATATGAAGCAACAGTTAGAACGATACGGAAACACTGATTGGTTCAAAATTGGGAAAGGAGTCCGACAAGGCTGTATATTGTCTCCCTGCTTATTTAATTTATATGCAGAATACATCATGCGAAAGGCCAGACTGGAGGAATCCCAAGCTGGAATTAAGATTGCCAGAAGAAATATCAACAACCTCAGATATGCAGATGATACCACTCTGATGGCAGAAAGTGAGGAGGAATTAAAGAACCTTGTAATGAGGGTGAAAGAAAAGAGCACAAAAAATGGTCTGAAGCTCAACATCAAAAAAACTAAGATCATGGTCACTGGTCCCATCGCCTCCTGGCAAATAGAAGGGGAAGATATGGAGGTAGTGACAGATTTTACTTTCTTGGGCTCCATGATCACTGCAGATGGTGACAGCAGCCCCAAAATTAAGACGCCTTCTTCTTGGGAGGAAAGCGATGACAAACCTCGACAGCATCTTAAAAAGCAGAGACATCACCTTGCCAACAAAAGTCCGAATAGTCAAAGCTATGGTTTTTCCTTTCATGATGTATGGAAGTGAGAGCTGGACCATAAAGAAAGCTGACCGCCGAAGAATTGATGCCTTTGAATTGTGGTGCTGGAGGAGACTCTTGAGAGTCCCCTGAACTGCAAGG